AATTGTGATTCCTTTCAAGGCTCCCTAGCAGCAGCATAGTTGAGGATAGACCATGATGTGTTCTCTGTCCATCTGTTCAATAAGTTTTTTTTCAATCCATAATAATCCCTGTTGTCTTTTGTCTGGCTTATCATTTAGCTGTTTTCTTTGTGATGTATTAATAGCTTGATGTTTTGTTACATATTTCAGTTTCCATTATTTTTTTCCTCCCTTCACCTTACATACCTTCTATTGAAAATAAAACTTAAATGAAATGTCTTAATTTCCCAGAATATGTGTCTCATTCATTGAGACTTCCAGTCTATTTCAGCGTACAGAATTATCCTATAAAAAAACAAACCCGTTGCCATTGAGTTGATTCCGACTCAGCAACCCTATATGTAGTAGTAATTTTTAGATGACTTGCTGGGATCAAACATTCAGTGTGGTATTTTTGGTTTTTGGTCTTGGAGGTTTGAAAGTGACTTCTGACGACATTCAAAAGGTGTTTATCCTTCCAGGTGGCATGCTGGATGTTTCAATAATGTAAATATTAACATGACTCGAGTAATAAGAGCAAATGGTTGGTATATCTGGTAGTACATTATCTGAAGATCTGATATTGGGAAAATTAATGAAGCAGTTGTGGAGTGATTATTCAGAAGGTTGAATTTGGAATGGGAGAATGTGATTGGAAAGAATGAACTACCTGCAGTTTAGCTCCTCCAAAGGTCAGCAGAGCTGGTGTTAGGATAGTACCAGCACACCAAGAACTGTTCCCAGGCATTGATATAATCAGCTAAGTTACTTTTTAGGAAAATGATAGAAATTAAATATTAGCTTTACATTCTTAATCTCATTAAGGCAATCTAAATATTTTACTTTAAAGGCTGTATTAGTAAAAAATGGAATTGGTTAGGACTTGGCTCTAAAATTTACCCCAGAGAGTTATTTAATTCATTCTTGATAAATTTCTTCTGTTGTATACAGTGTGACAATATATTCAGGTGCCTAACTTGAAGTTTTGGAAACCCTGGTGGCATAGTCATTAAGAGCTGTGGCTGCTAACCAAGAGGTTGGTGGTTCAAATCCACCAGGTGCCCCTTGGAAACCCTATGGGGTAGTTCTACTCTTGTCCTGTAGGGTTGCTATGAGTTGGAAAGAACTAGACGGCTGTGGGTTTTTAACTTGAAGTTACCCCTATTGGAAGGTTACATTGCTGCTTTTGTTGCTGTCCCTCTTAGACAAACATCCCTTGGTCTTATAATTTCCA